AGCAATTTTTGAAATTCTGGGCAGCCTCAACCGGCAAAGCAGGTTGCGTTGAATAGGAAATTTTTTTCTACCCCAAATGCATATGCAATAAGCAATTCTGAGTTTTCTAGCAAAAGTTATGCCACTTTGAAGTTTCGCAAAAATTTTCTCGGCCACCAAGATGTATCTTTTTTTTCTATAAATGATTTTTGCAATCTACCAACTCTAAACACTAATAGACACTAAAAGAAATGTGTACACAAAAATTCAGATCAAAATTCAATCTCTAGCTATTTTTTTTTTGGAATTTTTCAAAATTGGATGAATAGTGTGTAAACAGTACGTGAACAGTGCACGATGAACAGTGAAATCTGATAGCAATTATGCAGCATCTATGTTTTCTATTCCTACTAGTCCTCTATTTTTCGCATCCAGCCACACACAATTGACCACAATGGCACCAATCACACAACTAAACACTAAAAACACGAATTAAATCTGCAAAACTAAATGTAATAAACAAAAAAAAATAGACAAACAGAATCCCTACGATGAAAACGCAAACGCAGAAGAGTGAATCACAAAAACACAATCACAGAATGATGAAATAAAAACAAAATGACTTATGTCCCCGGCAACGGCGCCATTTTGATAACCATGTCGCAATGGTATCAAACAAGCTAGATTTTCTCAAAAATTTGTGCAATACAAGAAGCAAACCTAGGTCATCTCTCAAGAACATAAAATGCATTTTATTTTTAGTTCCATCATGCAATTTCAAATTAGATTGGGGGAGGATTTGTTTTGAATTTAAACGACAAAATAACAAAAATGAAAATTAAGGATTATGAAATTCAACCAATTCAAGATCTCAATCCCTACAATGCAATTCTCGTCGTTCACACAAATATAATCCCAACGAATTTCCAATCACACTAATTCAATGCGCATCAACAACCCTAAAATCTAAATCTAGATTATGAATTCCATCAAAACAAGAACCGCAATCGCAAACCCAATGCTTTAACAAAATTTAGAACAATTGATTGATTAAATTAGGTGAATCCAATTAATTCAAATCTGAAATTAACCTATTCTTTCTATTTAGGATGCAACGAAAATTCCATATCATGAAAAACGTAATTAACCTAATTAGAAAAGAGGAAGGAAAGGAGGAATTCGATAAAACCTATTTTGAAACTCGAATGCAATGTAGTTTTTGAAACCTTGAACCGGTTGATGAATTAGCCTTGCTTCATAATCATATTGCTCGACCAATTAGAGAAGGGGATGAAGTTTCCGAAAATAAAAGAGAGGGAGACGAGAGGAATCCTTACGAAAGCTTTTATTTAAAAATTCTGAAAATTAAGGCAAAAAAAGAGGGAAGAAGATCCTCACGCGAAATCATAAACCCTATTTAAAGACAAAATAATTGGGCTTAATTAAGGCCCAGCTTCCTAACGAGGTTCCTAAAACCTTAATTAAGTAATGTCAACAATAAAACCAAATTCTGAAAAATTCATTGCAGGACCGCAACATTGTGACGCAGTTTTGGGCCTGAAGATGTTCGAACTGGGCTTTTCTCGCAACAGAGAAGTTGTAGATATCTCTCTTATCTTTCCACGGACACCAATTTTGTCCAATTCTGAGTAGTGTAGCTCCAGATATGGTCTTTTCAAGAAACTGTGTCAAAACAAGAATTTATGGCGAAAGATTTAAATTTAAATCCTAAATGACTTACCAACACAAATCTAAACTAACACATCAAAATAATATACTAAAAAGACTCAATTAAATCGAAAACATAGAGAGAAAGATGTATTAAAATATGACTATCATTATCCCTTGCAAAACTACTAACTGCAGTAACAGTTGCAACCTAAATATCCGGAAGGGATGATAATAGAATCAACACCTTTACCTCATCATCAAACACTATCTGCATTAACACCAATTGGCCAAGAATTGTATTAAACTCGTTAATATGATTAGTGACATAATTACTTTCTCCTATTTTGAGGTTGAATAATCGACACATCAAATGTACTTTATTTGTTGTGTCTGAATTCTCGTACATATTTGACAATGCTTTCATCAAATCTGCATTAGTCTTCTCGATCACAATGTTGAACACCACATTCTTGGCTAGTGTCAATCTCACTACAAGCGTTTGTTGATCCAGCAACTCCCATTCTGACTGCTCAATGTCGTTTGGCTTCTCCCCTTTTAAGGGTTCTATTTGCATCTTCCAAAATCCAAAGTCTATACCATCAAACTTCTCAATCTTCACTTTCCCTCTTTCAATGTCATTGCTTTTGTTGCTTCCTCTAAGCCAAGAAAACTTCCACTACTTTCTTTAAACTAAAACCCCGTGAAAAAATCAAATCTTTTCTAATGTGGAAGATCAGACAATGTTGTAACTACATAGAATATTATGATATTGGCTCCTGATACTAGTTGTTAGGAATAAATAAAAAAGAGAGAGAAGAGAAAAAGATTTAATCTGGTTCGACACACAGTGTATATACCTATGTCCACAGCTATACTAGGAAATATTTTATTCACTAGATAATTCTTAAAGCTTTACAAGGCATTACTTATATAGTAACAATAAAATAGAAGTCCCTCAAGAACAAGTAATGTGGGACTAAATAAGACTATACAATCTTAACAGAAGGTGGAGTAGAAGAAGGGAGAACTAAAGAAGGGGAAGCACAGCCTGATCATGAAAGTGGTGATGGGGAAGGAGACCACATGGAGGAGGATCATCCAATTCATGATGATGTCACTTAAGAAGATGCATGAACACTTTTTTTTTTTCCTTTTAAAGTTTAGATTTTTGTTAATGTTTTGAGTTAGTTGACATTGTAAAGTTACAAGGACCTATTTAGTTTATTGCAACTTAATTATGCAATTTACACATTATTTATAAATAATTCCTTCCAATTTTATTCTCTTTTATAATTTGTTTGACTTATTTACTAAACTTACCATACAAATTGCCTTAATTAAATATTATTGTATATTTCTCATTTTGTTTCCTTTGGTCAAAAATATTTATGTAAGAGTACAAATGTTGTAAAAGTTGTTAATGTATATTGTTTACTTAAGTGGTGTAGCCATCTCTATCAATTTAATTTGCTATTTTTTCAATTTTTTCCCTTTACTTGCTTAAGCCTACATCCATTCGCTTAAGCACACACTAATCACTTAAGCTAACCACATCATGCTTAAGCCTTTTGAGACAAAATGATAAACATTAGCCTCTGTCCATGTTTCACTTAAGCTTACCTATACAGGCTTAAGCGATTGTCCTTCCATTTAAGCCATTTTCTCATTACTTAAGCTATTTTATCAATTTAAAAATGCATTTCTAGCTTAAGCTAGATCATACTTGCTTAAGCTAGTGCTAATTTGCTTAAGTGAACACATCAACGTTTAAGTGAGTTTGCAATTCTAAGGGACATGCTCTTTGTATATTTTTCACTTAAGCCATTACTTGGTCGCTTAAGCGCAGCACATAATCACTTAAGCTTATTGTTGTAGGCTTAAGCAGGGATTTGGTGCTCCTTTCAATTCTTCCTCTTGCAGTCTCGCTCCAAACATGCATCACTTGCTTAAGCTCTTATTTTCTTAAGTGAGAGGTATAAGGCTTAAGTGAAAATATTTGAAAATCGCTTAAATGAGGTTAAAATGGCTTAAGCAAAAAAAGAATTAAATGTCAAGTTCCTGCATTAACTGGAACAGATCCGCATCCAGAAAATCATTAAGTGAACAATTGGACTTGATTTCATTAAGTGTGCCCACTACCATTTTTTTTCATAGAGAAAAGAAATGAAATTGAAGGAATCAGATTGGACAGTTTACTTACCTAAAGTCTAAGACATATTTTTATTTTTATTTTATTTATGTGCATTTGGGTATGAAGTTTATTTTATTTTTTAGGAGGAAAAAATATATTATAGCTCTTGTTGCCCTAAAAAAAATTAATTTGACAAAAAAATAACAAAAAAAAGGGAGAAAACTACTATTTTGGTATTTTTATTTTTTATTCTAAACTTCATTTAGTTAATAATTTTAATATTTTGTCTCTTTAGGTTATAAATTTTATTTTTTTACAACAAATAATAATAATAATAATAATAATAATAATAATAATAATAATAACAAAAAAAAAACAATGGATTTAAATTAATTGAAACATAATATTAATTTTTTTTTCTTAATCATGTTATATTTTAATTTTAATTTGTAAAATCTATCTCCTCCATTAAAAGTAATAAAAGATAGGTAGAGTAACAATAAAAATAAATTTCACTATTCTTTTCATGTTATTTCATTTTTTTTATATTCAAGTTATTTATTTATTTAGTCTTTAACATTATCATCTTTTATTTTATTTATTGTATTTTTGTAGAATATTGATATGATTTATTTTTTATACTCATTTTATCTTTTTTTTTATTTCACGATTAATAAATTACATTTTTTAATTTATATTATAATAAATAATAAAATATTTATATTAATTTATAAATAATTTTTATATTGTCATGTGTTATAAATTAATAATGTCTATATATTCTTACTTTATCTTATATCTCATAATATAAATATTTTAAGTTAAATAATATTTTATCTTGGAATCAATTAAATATTTCACCAATTAAATATATTTTAAATATTTTTACTTTAATTATTAAACAATTAATTATTAAGTAGGTTTAAATTATTTTATTTTATCAATATAAAAATTTATAATTCATCTTAAATTAATTAAATAATTATTTCATTAATTAAATTGAAGTTTTCCTTTAAATATTTCTCTCCCTAATTATCAAATAATTAAGCAATTTATTTATTTATTAAACTAAATGCAGCTATTTGTAACATGAATATATCTTATTTCTACTTTTATATATTATAAATTGTTCAAACTTTTGTGTTAGATATCATACAATTCAATTCCCCTAATACCATTTTTTCTCATCCATAAAATTTAACTTCCAAGGTTATATTTAAGAAAAAATCAAACTTTTCCCATTGATCCACATTCTCATTTTCCTGTCTGGTCCAATTGTGCTTTCATCGAACAGAGACAAGAAAAAAAGATGCGTAGGTACAACAACTTTGTACACGACTTTGTACATAGCACGCCACTCTTGACACAGTCAAATACCAATGTCAGATATTCTTTTTCATAATACTGATACATACGCTTCTTATATCATACATAATAACATTGAGGAACATGGCGCAGCAACATCATACGAATATCCTTATATACAAGAGATGTCAATCATAATCAACAGAATGCTTCATTATGCATCAACTGAAACAGCCAAGGCATTCAGTTGAACGTGCTGTTTACCCTCATTGCCTGGCTGAACAATGACGGTCGCATGAGCCTCAGAATAAGAATTATTGGCTCCTTCCTGCGAAACTGATAATGACCTCAAAGACATTTTATTGGCAGAATTGTTTTGGTCATCATGGTCATTGGAAATAATTTCCCACTCCTCTTTAAGGGATGCTACTTCTAGACCTTTCTCTTGATGCCTCTCCATTTCAAAAGCAGTAGGTAGAATCACATAATCATTGAGGGGATTGTAAAAGGGATCAGGATCTCCAGCCCTCAGCCAGTGCTTGAGAATCCGAAACACATGAGGTTCGCAAAGGATACCCCGATGTTCACCTGGCACTCCAACCCTTGCCTCCGCATTGAGCCCATCAGCCTGCATTCAGGTTTAATCATAAATATATTTTGGGAGTTTTGAAGCAGTTACTACTGTTTACTAAGACTAATGCTACTTGATTGGCATAGTACCAAGCAAAATTTGTATATATTTAAATCCAGCAAGTCATCAATGCATAAGGATTGTGCAAAGGGAAATTAGCAAACCTTAGCTGATTCTACTGGAACTGTTCCATCACCATCAACAAATACGTATTTGGCCTGAATATTAAAAAGATAAAAGTAAGCAAGCATTGCCAACTGGAAAAATAAAAGGAGTATCGAAACAATGACTGAAGGTGGGAAAAGTTTACACAGTTTCAACATAATACACATTAAATTAAAATCTATACTTCAATATCACACCAGAAAGAAAAGGCACTAAGTGTGTGTCAATAATAGAATTAAATATGTTGAAATGATTATACAAAGAGGAAGAAAAGACTAAAGGAGAGAGAAATGGGGTTTATCCATACAAGAATTAATTTTTAAATGAGAGTTTATACAGAGAAGAGGTTGCCGCATCCCAAAGGCGGAACTTAACATAAGTCTTGAGAGACTTAAAAGTAAATTATTTACTAATTAATTTCACTAATAAGCACTTAGTTTTATTAACTAATTCAACAAAATACTAAAATAAATAAAGACATACAAAACCCAGATGAGAAACTTCCCAGACTTTTCTTCAATGAAAGTATAAATAAAACTGTATTGTAAATTGGGGGAATCAATATGGTGCATATGGACTTTGTTCTCCTTTGATATGTACATACATCAAGAAACATATATTTAGCAGTTACAAATTTATTGACCTCAAAATATCGTAGTTGATCCAAATCTGTGACAGGCTTGTCCCCACTTCCATAGCTGCAGAATAATAGTTATGTTAAAGTGAGGGTCACATATTTCCAAAATATGTGCACATGCACCAACTAGGCCATTCTTAAACACAGTTCATAAATTCCATTTATAGGGTAACCATGGTATCATCCAAAGAATTGATAGAGTCAATACCAAACACTATGAGGTGTCCCAAGATTGGTCCCATAAATATTGTAAAATTTAACACCGGGGGGAAGTTTGGCAGAAGACAGAATCTCCCACGTTTTGTTTGCCCATTCCAAGATCTCCAAGTTGAAGGGCAGGGGCAAATCCTCGCCATCATAACTAACCTGGATCACAGATAGATATCATACCAATCTAAATAAGCTATGTACCAATAAACATTCATCCAAGATGTCTAGATCTTGAATAGCAATACTTGAACTTCCCAAATGCATTAACATAATCTAAGGCATATGAAAGTAAGAAAAAATAAATGCTTCAACTACTTGAGAGAATATGTTGAAGTTCCAAGTTAAACAAGAAAAAAACAAAACGCCCTTATATTATTATTTCTTACATTCCAAATTATCCGTTAATCATTATTTGTAGAATTTAATAATCAAAGGCATCAATTGTCAAATGCTCCAAAAACCAAAATTTAAACTATAATACATTCAATTTCATGGAAATATTGGTGGCACTCAAGTTTGACAAAGTTCCATTAATTTCCATGATGGGTAAGGTAATGCTGGTAACTCACTGTGTTATCTACAAGTGCTTCTTTCAAAATCTCAATGCTATCACATGGTGGATATGACTCCAGAATAATATGTGATTTCCCATCGGAATTATGTCTCTCACGCCACAATTCTAGAACAGGAGTATGTTGCCATTGAAAATTAGGACAACCCATTAGTTCGTATATCGATGGACATTCAATCAGCTGTGACATTGGAACAAGCTTCAGTAAATAATTCTACAATATCAAACCAAGAGAGAGAGAGAGAACAAAATGAATAATAACAAGACGCATGCATACAAAAGGGAAAAAAAAAAACACAGGTAAGATAATGCTTAAATAATCTTTAGCACAAGGAATCAGCACAATCAATAGAAATAGAGAACAAACCATCCAACAATTAATAACCAGAAAATCCAAATCAAGAAATGCATGTCAAAATATCATACATGATCAAAGTGTAAACCTGTTATAAAATTGTATAAAAATATGAATAATAGCAACCAAAACTATATATCACTTTCTTTTGTATTATGTCACTGAATTCCATTTTTCCTGGTATAACCAGAGATCACAAAAGCATGATTGTGAAGTGTGATGATTAATTAAGCATGTCAGGATTTTGTCTTTGGTTTTGGGAAGATCTCATCGGTACTTTCTATTTCTTCATACTGGTTAATAAACACTTACCCAAACAACTATCAGTTACTGCCACTGAAAGGTAAGGATAAATTGCCAAAATAAAAAATAAAAATAAACTTTAACATTGTTAGAAAACATAAAATATAAAACCGCACCTCCCTCAAGTTCCTGTATCCAACAGACAAAATCTCAAAAATAATAATGATACACCAGGCACAGTGATTCTGATATGTCAGTATTTAACATAATAGGGACTCATTTGTACTAATAAATGAACTCAAAAAACAACTCTAGAAGACTAAAATAACTGATCTGTACCAATTGGTGCATGCTCCATTTGGAAATATAAAAGTTTTGTTCCCATCCTTCCACAAATGACATTCCATTTAAAAAGGTAGAATTGATACATCCAGGTGCACCTGCAAAACAATGTATAACTGCCCATGATGCGTGTCCCTTGGCAAAAAAATAAAATAAAATTAAAGAAACTTCTAATTAGCTTAAACAATACAGATGATATAAAACCAACACATGAAGGCAACAAAAGCAAATCACTCTGTCATACATTATTAAGTTCAAATCACATTTAGGTCAAAATCTAGTGAAATTATAGTAAGTTTAACTAAGCACTTTCTACAATGTTTATTGCTTAAACTGTTTCACCAAGAAAGACATGCTCAACACCATACAATCATACTTAACCAATATCACTTTTTCTTTCTTACTATTTTTCCTTTGATATTTAAAAGTCATCCTTCTATGCATGATTTTTTGTGCATCAACCATTTTAGCCTGTGAATAATATAATATATGACCTTTGCCTACTTCCAAAAAAGTAAATAAGGAAAACAAGTTTCTAATAGTTCCATCTTTATAAATTACATTGAAATGCTAATAGAACCAGTTTATAAAATATCCTTAATCATAATTCTATACTTCTGATAAATGTAGAACAAAATTAATTACCTTGGAATGGTGCAGAAATTGCAACCCAATTCTTCACATATTTCTCAAAAATCTGAAAAGACAAGCAAAATTGTAGACAAGCTTCAGCAATAAATAAATTCCAAGATTGAAGTGTATAAAACATAAATTGACAAATATATAAATGATATGGAAACTACAAATAAAATAAAACTGATTTGAGAAGCTTAATGGATGTGTTACATCACTGCGCAGGCACATGAAACATTTCACCAAAAGACCACCCATAGAATGACTTATAATGTTTATCTTTTTCCCTCCTGCAGCATCATAAATTGATTCTAACTTTGCAGCCAACCGATCCATTGTTTCCTGCAACCTAAATGAAAATAAACAGCATAATTGTAAGAAAAATTGCTTTCATTTTGTTAAAGAGTACATGCTTGATAGAGATATAATCCCCAGTTTTGTAGAAAACATGGTAGTTAAAATCGGGAGTTAAATTATAAAATCTCGCACAATTTTACGATTTGGGAAGACACACGATTCATATCATAGCAAAAATCGTCCCCAAGTGAAATTGGGATTTAGATCGTAAAATCGGGATTTCACACCAATTTCATGAAATTCCAGGTTTGGATCTGGATATCCGCCCAATTCGTTTATAATTTGATGGATATGGCCCAATTGTGAATGACCCGACTTATATTTTTGCTTGAACCTAAGTTCCGACTTCCTAAACTTAGTCACACCACCTTCGTTTCTTTCTTTCCTCCTTAAACACTAGACAATATTGATAACCATAGATGTGCGACCTAGTTTGCAACTGACTGTGACTGTGTCTTCTTCACAATCTTTTTGTGATTTCCTCGTCTCCAATCTTGCTCTGTTATGCTCTTTGGTTTTCTTCTGATCTTGCTCTGGTTTTCTTATCTTGTTCAAGTTTGAAAGGGTTCAAACATGGGTACTGGTCAAAGCTCAGGTGGTCGCAGTTCTGGGTCTGTACCAACTGCAACTGACAACTCTACTGCTGCTGGCTCTTCAAGTTTATCAAAGTGGTTTTAGTGATTTAATGTTTTTCTTTTAATTTATTCTATTTTCTATGCATAATATGAATTTATATGCATGTATGTATGATTTTTGTAAAATCTTACGATTCGATTTACGATTTTATGATTCACAATTTTTACTCCCCTTCACAATTTGAAGTAAAATCCCGATTTTAACTACCTTGGTAGAAAATCATACCACCAGTAAATCATTAACCAAAAGAAACACTTGAGAGGCAGCAATCAAATTAAATTCATTTCCACAATTATTGTCTACTTCAGGCTAGTTTATCAGATAATAACTTCTTAAAAAACCTAATCCTTTTGTAAAATAAAAACAAATTATAAAAAAGAACTTGGTAAAAATTTTACACAGAATCAATTACACTATAAAAATGATATAGAATCAGTTTTTTCATGCAGAAAGATGACATAAAATAATCTCATAGTATGTAGTTATGTACTTATTTGAAGAGTGGGCTGTTTGAAATTATTTTAATTTCATTACTTTGGATTAGATATGATAAGGGAATGGACTCCTTTTAAAAGGTTGATCAAATCACTATCATTAAACTGCTCTAGTTTCAAATTAATTAGTTACCTGTTGCTTTGGCGAAAATCATATCCAAAGCCAAAAAGTGTCTTTCCCTCTTGAAATCCCCACTTACGCATTTCAACAATCATGTCATGGAAATAATACACAGACTCACATCCAATCACCTGTTAAAAAAAAAAATAATATATATATATAAGATTCAAGAATAAATTGCTTGGCCATAAGCTTTGTCATTACAGCTCAGTTTAAAATAGGCATACCAAGTCAGGGTCCAAAATATCAATTGCATGAAGTCCATGCCTATCCTCAGGAACCTTAATTGTTGAGTTTGGATCCAGGGACAAGGTTTTTCCTGGTTTCAAAAAAGATATCAGGTATGTTAAGATCACCAAATTCAAAGTTTCTTACGGCACACTCTTCAGTGCAAAACACAAATTACTACAGTAAAGAAGGAAATAAACTGAGCATGCATGGAATCTCGGATACAGCACAAGCATTGAGTGAGGATATAACAGAACAATTAAGGGGCATTCGAAAGCTTCTGCAGAGCTTAGTGGGCTTATCATATAAGCACTTAAGTTAAAAATTGATGGTATTTGGTAAAGCTAATGAAACTGGCTCTTCTAAGCTATTTTTACTTAATAAGTTTCAAGGTGAAGGTTATCAAAAGACATGAGCAGTTACGTGATAAACTCTTATCAAACAAACACTAGAGCCTGTTTGGAAAACATCATTAACTCCGTTCCGCTGGAATTGAAAAATAATTGCTTTGATAAAAAATTTCTTGCGATGTGTGTTTTCTCCATTGAAACATGGAAATAAAAAGTCCTAACTACGCTATTTACCCAAACTCACCCTTACTCAATCACAAGGCTTCTTCCCTGTCTCACTACAATCATTAATTAAATTTTGCATGTACTAAAGGGATGAACAAATATACAAATTTAACGAACAATTCGTATTTTATCATATCGAAACCTTTATTATTTTTAAATATAATTACACTAATCACATATATCAAGTTTCCTTTTTCTATAATCCCAAAATACATTCAGAACATTGATAGTATCATCAACGAACAAACAGTTATATCAGCAACTTGTGCAGCTAAACATCATCAATTTTAACGAACTTTATTTTTGGAAAACTAAAAATAGGTCTACCAGTAGAAGGATCGTAACGTGACCAAAGCTTGGTCTTCAACTTGTACTCAGCGGAGAGAAAGCGAACCCAAACCCGCTCTTGGCTACCGTCGCTATCGTTAACGGCGTTTAATATGGAGCCACCGACACCAGGCACCAACAAAACGGGGTCGAAATTTGGGTTGACGTAGGGCTCAGGCTGGGGCTTCTTGACCAATTTCAGCCATAGCTCCACGGATTGTAGAATATCGTCCAACAAGGACGCCATCGGCAAATAGAAACCCTAACAACAATCAATTGAACAATTGGAAACTCAAATTGTTAGGGTTCCGATTTGGAGAAGGTGGAGTTACGTTAGGAGGTGAAATGAAATTCTTCACGTTGACCGAGCCAGGGACAGCACTGCGTTGCGCGGAAGATCCCTATGAAGTTGGAATGATCAAACTTGTAATTGCCACTTGTTAATCTCTATCAATATGATATGAACTTGGCTCCTCTAAATAATTATTACATGTGCACTTATTTTTTATTTTATAATAAGTAAGTGTTTTGTATTAATTTGGTGCTTCACATTTTCGTGCTTAGTTAAATTTTAATACAGTAATTATTAAAATTTTAATGCAATTTGAAATTACGTAATTGAACTCTATGATGAGTTTAATTAAAATATAAAAAAATACTCATATTTGACTAATCAGAGCAGAGCATGTTATCCTACTAACGTGACCATTGCTTATTTTATCATATCAAATAAAATAGCGTAGATAAAGTGAAAACGAAGAAATCAGGGTTGCGTATTGATTCTGCTTCCGGGCTTTAAGCGCTTAGATAAACGACAACCACCCATGAATATTAAATGCAATTAAAATATATGTATAAATTAATATGAAGTGTATATTTTATTAAAATATATATTTTTTAATTAAAAAGTATGAACATTATATTTTTAACTTTTAAACAAAATAAGTCCTAAATATATAAATTTTTCAGTTTATTTGGTCCTCCGTTCACTTTGGCCCCAAGTTATGTAGGATTAAATTTTTATTATGATAAACATATTTATTATGATAAATTTTTATCATATCATACTATTCAGTATTGGGTTCTACCAGAAAGAAAATAAGATTTGAACAAAATAAAAAAGAAAAAAGTAAGAGAAAAATAAAATAAAAATTAAATTAAAAAATAAAAATCCATTTTTAATTTAAAATTTTATTTTAAAAATACATCAAATTACATTTTAAAATTCATTTAAATAACTAAAATTATTAAAATTTTTATTACATTTAAATATTTTAATAAAATAAATTATTTTTTCAATAAAAATTATTATCATTAAGAGTTTAAATTATTATCATTTGTTTGCAATTTTTAAAAAAAAATATATAATAAGATTTAAATATAGAACCTTTCAGTAAATAAATTAAACTCACATATATAAATATAATGGTCTTATACTAATATGTTAACCATTTTCGTTTTGTTGATAATATATCAAATTTATTAATTATTTGTATGATTGTATTTTTATTATTAAATATTTTTTGTTACATTAAATTATATATTTTTATAACTATTATGATTTATTTTAAAAATATTAAATTATTAATGTAATACCTAAACATTCACTCTATATCATTTTAATTATTAAAAAACATAAAATATCTAATAATGAGAGAAAAATTAAAAATTTGAGAATATAAAAAAATAAGAAACATATAGATGAAATAAAAGAATAAAAAATTAAAAGAATTTTAAAAATACAAAATGTCATGTGGCATTTGTAACGAAAGATCTTTAATAATACATAGAGAGATTATTTTATATTATTAATTATTTATATAATATTATTAATAACATTAAACATTTTTTAACTATTACAATCATTTCTATTCAATCAATATATATCCTCTTTCATTAATATTGATAACAATCGTTACACCTACTTTTATCTGCCTTCATTGTACCAAAAAAATTGACATATTGCTGTCAGTTTCTTAATGCATTACCCACAATAATTGATTTCCCATTCTTTCTTAGTCTAACTTGGAATTCAGCAAGAGCTTTTCATTTTAATAGCTAAAAATACACTAAGATACATCAATAAACAAGGTTCATTGATTTCTCATAATTAGAATCCAAGTATACCAGGAAAAAAAAACTGTTTGATTAGGAATTATAGCATATAGCTTGTCCCCATCAATTACCAATATCAAGAAATTGCAATGGGTAGAAAATTTGTTGCACTTAAGAACTACTGCATGGATGATGGAAACAAATAAATGATGATCATTGATCTTATGAACGTTGCTGATCACTTCCTTTCAATATGTATTGGGGTCTAATTAATCTTATATACTTAACTGTTTTTTACGATTTCTGGTGCTTTGTTTGAAGCCATATACGTATATCTTGTAGCTAAAACGATAACAAAATAGAACACCATGAATGCATTGTCATCATTGTTTTGTTAGGGTGGGAAGTTCATGTTCATAATTTTAATCATATACACATTAATTTTACTCGCTCTTTGATAAGCATAACTCTGAAGGCATTCTATTAATGAGATAGGTTGCAGTGAGTACAGTTTCTCCCCAATATTGCTTTGGCATATTTGTTGATCTCATGAGTGACCTGGTGACCTCCATAATGATCTTGTTCTTCCTCTCAGCTATTCCATTCTACTGTGGGGTGTTCACCCATGAACTTTGATGAACAATTCCATTATTTTTGAGATAGGTGTTGAGAAATAATTGGAAATATTCGCAACCATTATCAGTTATAAAAACTTTGATGTTTGCTTGGAGCTGAGTCTATGACGTGCAGTGGAAGTTTTCAAATATCTTTCTCACCTCAAATTTCTTTTATAAGGAAGACCCACGTGACTCTTGTGTGGTCATCAATAAATTTGACAAACCATCAAGACCCAGTGATGTTGTTGACCCGTGAAGGCCCCCACACATCGTTATGAATTAAGGAAAATGGTTGAGTTAGCTTATAATACCCTCTTGCGTAGTTATTTTGAGTATGTTTGGACAATTGCAAAACTTCACACTGAAAAATCAAATTATTTTTATTGAATAAAGCAGGGAACATTTTCCTCAAATACACAAAATTTGGGTGAACCTAATCTACAGTGCCAAAACATTGTTAAGTTCTTAGCTCCTAGATGATCTACTACATAAGAGTGAGCCTTAGGTTCTTCATCTTGAATAAGGAAGAGTCCAACACATTTCTTAGCATTGCTAATCGTCTTCCCCGACTCCAAACTTTGAAATTCACACACATTATGTGAAAAAATAGTAACATAATTCAAATCCATTGTCAGTTTACTCATGGACTGTTGAAAAGTCAAGAACGGTGTGTCATTTTCGGTGCCTAACATTCGGTTGAATGTTAACGTTTTCGGTGCCTAATTTTGGTTGAAAAATTAGCAAATTGTGATGCTTTGTTGCCTATAAATACGAAGCTCTTCCATCCATTCTTTGTATCCCATTTCTGAGAGAAAAATAGAGAGCAAATAAGAGAAAGAAAAAGAGAGAAAATAGTTTAGCTTTTGGGTATAATTGGGTTATGGGTTGTGAGTGGTTGTGAGTATTTTAAGTGTTATGTAAACACTGAGTGTATTCCCTTTTTTCAGTAATATATCTGCAGCAGTCCGGAGACGTAGGCATTATTGGCTGAACTCCGTTATCAATTTTGTGTGTGCAAATATTCCACATTTATTTTTCACTTCCACAAATCTGACTTTACAAGAAAATTCGGCGTAATTTTCTCAACAACTGGTATCAGAGCTGGTTCAAAATTCTGCAATTTTTTGTGAAGTACTGTTCACGTGAATAGTAAATAGTGAACAGTGAAAAATTTGTCAGCATTACAAATTTGTTCACAGACGTGTTCTAAACACAGTGGTATACAGAAATTGTCAGAAACAATTCTGAGGAGAAGTCAGATTTGAGTGGGAGTGATGGCCGCAGATGAAGAAAAGGTGAAAATTGAAAAGTTCGATGGTACAGACTTTGGCTTTTAGAAGATGCAGATCGAGGATTATCTGTATCAGAAAAAGCTGTATCAACCTCTCACAGGAACAAAGCCAGAGGGCATGAAAGAGGACGAATAGAATCTTCTCGATAGACAAGCCCTTGGAGTCATCCGATTGACGTTATCCCGTAATGTTGCTTTCAACATTGCAAAAGAAAAGACCACGGCGGATCTTATGAAGGCTCTTTCCGACATGTATGAAAAGCCGTCTGCTTCAAATAAAGTTTATTTGATGAAGGGGTTATTCAACCTTCAGATGACAGAAGGCGCATCAGTAGCGCACCACATAAATGAGCTCAATACAGTTCTAACCCAATTGAGTTCAGTTGAGATTGAATTCGATGATCAGGTACGAGCATTGGCACTTTTGTCCTCTCTACCAGAAAGTTGGAAGACTACTGTCACAGCTGTGAGTAGTTCGACGGGAGACACTAAGTTGAAATTTAATGATGTTCGTGATCTAATTCTCAATGAAGAAATCCAACGAAGAGAGTCAGGAGAATCATCAACCTCTTCAGTATTGCATACAGAGTCAAGAGGAAGAAATTTAATCAGAGGAAATGGACGTGGTAAATTAAAGGACAGGAGGTCCAAATCCAGTAGTCATCATAGTTCCCACAAATCGAAGGCAATCGAGTGTTGGAATTGTGGGAAGTCCGGGCACTACAAGAATCAGTGCAAGAATGCACGAAAGAATCAGGACGCGAAAGACGAGGCAAATGTTGCTTCCACCTCTGGAGGAGATGATGCGTTGATATGTTCTTTAGAGAGCAAGGAAGAGTCTTGGGTGTTAGACTCTAGAGCATCTTTTCATGCCACTTCGCAGAGAGAATTCTTCAAGAAATATGTTCTCAGAAACCTTGGTAAAGTTTACCTTGGTAACAACCAATCATGTGAGATTGTGGGTAAAGGTGTAGTGAAGGTTAAGTTGAACGGGTCTGTATGCAAATTGAAAAATGTCAAACATATTCTCGACCTGACAAAGAACTTAATCTCAGTAAGCCAGTTGGCCAGTGAAGGCTACACAACAGTCTTCCACGGTGATAGCTGGAAGATTTCAAAGGGTGCAATGGTAATTGCTCGTGGCAAAAAGAGTGGTACTCTTTATAAGACAGCAGGAGCATGTCATCTGATTGCAGTTGCAGCAAATGAAAATCTCAATCTATGGCACCAGAGACTAGGCCATATGAGTGAGAAAGGGATGAAAATCATGCACTCAAACGTTAAGCTACCAGGTCTTCAGTCAGTAGAAATTGACATGTGTGAAGACTGTATACTTGGAAAATAAAAATGAGTCAGCTTTCAGACAAGTGGAAGAACCCCAAAGAAGGAAAGACTTAAGCTTGTTCACTCTGATGTTTGGGGTCCAACATCTGTTCCATCCATTAGTGGGAAGCAATACTTTGTGACTTTTATCGATGATCACTCCAGAAAAGTGTGGGTATACTTTCTGAAATATAAGTCTGAAGTATTTGAGGCTTT